GAAAGGATTTTTTTTTTTTCTGGTTCATTTTACGTTCCCCAGCAGGAAAAGACGAAAATATTCGTTGCCTTCTGGATTCTTTAACTTTATACAAAATCAGCTTATTGCCCCCACAATCTGGGTCCTCATTTCACCTACCTTTGAAAGGATGGAAGGCTGAGTCAACCTTGAGCCTGGTGAGATTTGAACTTGCAGTAATTGCAAGCAACAGATGTTAATAACAGTGTTTAGTCCACTGTACTACAGGCTCTTCTTACCGACTTTTCGTGAACCTGCTAGGTAACATCATCAGGGCTAGAAGGAACTGTATATAAACAGAGAGCAGAGTTCACTCCTTTCTAGCCCTGATGATATTACCTAGTGGGGTAATGAAACGTCTGCAAGAAAATTACCAAGTTCAGAGAGCATCAAGGACCCCACATCTTCTGCCTGCTCCGAATCTTGGGCACTGAGAAACCCAAAACACATGATCCACATAAATTAAGGATGTCGCCATACCTATCAAGTCTGATGATTGGCCAAGCATGTGAGAGAGAAATAGCTCTGGAGATCAGATACAAGCAACAGCTTGCTTATCTGATGAAATCCAACACCTGCTACCGTTTTATTATGCAAGATTCTACAACGGCTTCTACAAATACAAACCTGAAGACACTAGATTCTCCCTCACCTGAAAATACTGGAAGTCAGCCTTGTAACGGAGGTGGACAGAGGTTTCTCTAATGCTTTCCTCCATTGCTGAGTACACTTACACCTAAGCTCCTTTCTTGAATTACTAAATGATCCCAACCAACCAGAGAGCCTAGGTGTCTTTTAAGTGGATCCTGCATTGGGAAGGAAGGGCGATTCTTGGTATAATTTACAATTTGAATTGCACTGGAATTTGCACTGGCCAAGAACGAAGGAAAGAACTGAGCCAACGAGAAGAAAAGAAAAGACGAATTGGGACAGCCTTGCCAAAACCTCTCGCAAATAAAACAAAGAAGAGTTTCAACTCTGCTACGGTAACGTACGATTTACCCATAAGTCTTACCAAAGCCTTTTGTGGATAGATGAAACATCTTGTGCCGCCCAAGCATTTCAAGCCAAGCATTTTTCCCCCCTCCTTCTCCTTCTTTTGTTTTGGGGTTTTGGAAGCAAATCCAACTTTTCTCCCTCCGGGAGCCATTAACATATTGTCTTGGAACGCGCTGTTTATTAACTTCAACCCCCCCAAAGCTGCCAAGGTATTAAAAAGCTCATCCATTTAGTCTGAAACTTTTGATGGAGTATCTGCACTCCTCATACTGACATGCCTATATGAAGGTCTGGGATTTAGTAGCGCAACAATGCAAGACCCACTGAAGTAAATACGGCAGGGGAAAGTAAGCTTAAAGACGAGGTTAATGACAAATCCCATTATTTTACTCGTGTTTAATTTTAAAGAGACTGAACTGATAAACACACAAGAGTATGCCGAGGAAATTTAGATACTTTCTACATCCTACTGATATCAAAGGGAGGAAATACCCAATGTCTAGATTTGTGCCCATTGAAATGAACCGGAAAGTCATTGATTTAACTCTCAATAAATCTTGTTGATTGTGTAGCATGTTTATAAATGAATATTAAAGTGCGTTATGATTTTCTCCATCCCTTACTTAATAATAAATGGGAATGGACAGAACACAATTCAGGCTCCATCACCTTCACAAATAAGGAAACTATTCTGCTGTCTTTCAACCAGGTTTTTTATTTACACCTTCAATGTGAATAACATTCTTTTTTAAAAAAAGAAGCTCCAATTAAAAAAAGGATTTTTTAAAAGACTATTAAAGAAAGAAAGATTGTTCTAGTATTCTTGAACGATGAGAAAGATCCACAGAATTCAAATATTTAGACCACACTGTTAAGATTCTAGAAGGGTTGATATTTTGAGATGAACATTAAAGAGATATCCAACCTGGAACTAAGGAAAAATTTCCTGGCAGAGAGAATAATTGATCAGTGGAACAGCTTGCCTCCAGAAGTAGGTGCTCCATCACTGGAGGTTTTTAGTAAGGGACTGGACCAGGGGTCAGCAACCTGCGGCTCTGGAGCCGCATGTGGCTCTTTCATCCCTCTGCTGCAGCTCCCTATCACTCAAAATATGCATCACAACCACCAATGTCCGACACCTGCCCGACAATGTCTGACATATTTTCTATTCTATTCTATTCTATTCTATTCTATTCTATTCTATTCTATTCTATTCTATTCTACTCTACTCTACTCTACTCTACTCTACTCTACTCTACTCTACTCTACTCTACTCTACTCTACTCTATTTATAAAGCTGTTAGGGCTGCCTATCTTATATCCAACAATCCTAGAAATCTCACAAGGAAGCCAATAAACCCAGCAATTCAAAAAAACAACCACAAAGGCGCAAGCAGCAATTAATTCAATAAATATAAAACACTCCTGCTTAAGACACTAACACAAGGACAAGATGGCTTATATAATAAGGGAAAAAAAGCTATTTATCCTTGAAAGGGGAGGGGAAAAAATACATTTCTACTTGCATATTGTCGTACCTTGACAAAATCACAGAAAACTTCAAAGACAAGAGATGATTTAAAAAAAAAAAACCTGAGGAATATAAATACCATTTTGCCTAAAAATAAGACATCCCCTGATAATAAGCCCAATCGGGCTTTTGAGCACATGGCAATAAAGCCAAGTGCTTATTTCAGGGTTCAAAAAAATATAAGACAGGGTCTTATTTTCAGGGAAACACGGTTATATATTTTTTTTTAAAAAAATTTAAGTTTAAATTGATTAATCTAACCAATTTACACTGATGAAAGGGCCAGCTCTGTCCCATCCTATTACGAGGGCAAAATTTAAGGGTCACTTTTCTTGCGAAGGAAATAAAGATGCTAGAGATGCCAGGTTCGTTTTAATAATACATGCTGCGCGCTGCGCCCGCCATCTGCAAAAATGGAAAGCAGAAACACACACACACACATACACACACAAACACACACACACACACACACACACAAGAGGCATCTCGACACCTCGGTGCTGCAGCTTATTGTTCCTTAAGTGACGGAAGGTTTAATCAAGAAAACAGGCCATCCATCACATGAAACCAGGCAGACTGTGTGAATCTGACAGCCTGCACATGGCTTTATGCGGTGGGAAAACCTCACCACCTGTTAGCCACTAACCTTTTACACAAGGATCCGAGATACAAGCTTTGTCCCCCCTTCCCCTTCCCTCTCCCCGATGAGATTCTCCTTTATTTCGGCACCGTCCCCTATTATTGGCAGGGACAGACGGTGGAGAACGATGGCACCGCCGTCAACAATTTATGCCTCCTTAAAGTGACTTATTCCTCCTTCCTGACTTCCGTTATTAGAAATCATCTCCTCCTCCTTCCTTGCAACAGCCTGCTCTCCTTCTGTGCTTTAGGGATGTTATCAAGGATAAGAGTTGGTAAGGGACCTTGGAGGTCTTCTAGTCCAACCCCTTCCTTGGGTCCTCAGGGTGAAAATCATTCCTGCCTTGTGTTCTCCTTCTTGGACCTTAACAGAATAACAGAATTGGAAGGGATCTTGGAGGTCTTCCAGTACAACCCTCTGCCTAGGCAAGAAACCTACTATCGCAGCACCATTGAGAGTGTCCTGACATACGGCATTCTTGCATGGTATGGGAGCAGCTCTGTAGCGGACAAAAAAGCTCTACAGAGAATCATTAAAACTGCCCAGAATATCATTGGGCTCCAGCTACCAGCACTGGACGACATCTTCGAATCTCGCTGTTTGAGAAAGTTGCATAATGTTCTCAGAGACTTTTCCCATCCTGCTTACAATCTTTTTGGACTGTTGCCTTCTGGCAGAAGATACAGAGCAATTAAAACTCGGACCACACATTTTCTGAATAGTTTTTATCCCAGAGCTATAATTGCACTCAACAAATGAACTAAAGGGCCACCATCAGTCAGCTGTTGGACAGCATTACTTGGTCTGTTGTGTGGATGTTTGGGTGGTTTAGGGGTGGGGAACTGTGGTGGGTGGGAGGGTGTTTGGGGATTGTTATCTGTGTAGGACCTGGTCTTTGGGTGTTAAGTGAATTTCGTTGTATGGGTATACTGCGTATACACGTACAATGACAATAAAGTTATTATTATTAACCCTACACCGCTTCAGACTTTCTCTCTGGTTGCTCTTGGGATTCTGACCTTCTGACTCAATGCCACCCTTCAGAAGAAGTCATGAAAGGTATGGATTGAGGAGTTCTTTCTCATGAACTTGAAGATCACCAGGTCGGAAGATTACTGGATCCTCGTGAGAACCTTGCTCTGTCCCATTGTCAAGAATTCAGTCTGAGGATGGACTGTTGTTGAGAAGGACTACTTAATGGACCACCAAACATCAGTCCTCAGAAGCACCACATCTCTTTACAGTGTAGCCATGCCATCTTTCTCCCAATGCCTACAAAATTGTAACAGGTAAGTCAGCCCTTGGCTTACAACCATTTGTTTAGGGACTGTTCAAAGTTACAACGGCACTGAAGAAAGTGATTTACGTCCATAAGTTTTCCATCCTTACGACGGTTGCAGCATCTCCGTAGTCCTGTGATCAAAATCCAAAGGCTTGGCAACTGGCATGTACTTATGATGGTTTCAGTATCATGTGATTCCATCCCCTTTGTGAACTTCTGACAAGCAAAGTCCACAAGGAAGCCAGGTTCACTTAACAAAACCATGCTAACTAACTGAACAACTGAAGTGATTCGCTGAGCAACTGTGATAAGGTCGTAAAATGGGCCAAAGCTTGCTGAACGACTGTCTTGCTTAGCAACGGAAATCTTGTGGTCGTAAGTTCAGGGCTACCTGTAATCACCTATAGCAACAACATGTAATTATAGCAAATTGAGCTATGGTTGTAAAGGTCTATCAGTTCTTCCTGACCCAAAGTGAGGAAGCTATGTAGAGAAAAATCACTTATTAAGCAAGGAGATCTGTCACTTACCTGAAATGGCATATAAATTGGAGTGCTGATATTCAAAATCTGGCCGAGTGCCGTGCCCCTTCCCTCGGAAACTGGCGGGAAGCGTCAAGGATATATGTCTAAAGAGAAGAGACAAAAGAGCATATTTGAATTTCAAGAACAAAACCCAAATTAAGGAGGCAGGGATGCTCATGGAGATAGGTTTCGACAGATCGTCTTGCCTAGCTTGGGCCAGCCACTCTCTTTCTGCCCTAGGAAGGAAGCAATGGCAAACCAAAATGTTGCCAAGAAAACTGCAGGAGTCCAGGCAGCACCCGAGAATCAAACACCAGGGAATGGAAGAAGAAGAAAAAAAAAAAACATTGGCAAAGTTGGCTTATCAAGAGCTTAACTAGAAGATGACTTGACCTGACCATAATAGAACCAGTTTGGTCTAGTCGTTGGCACCAGACAAGAAAGTGGGAGACTGTGAGTTCTAGTCCTGCCTAAGGCATGAATGCTAGCTGGGTGATTTGGAGCCAATCATCAGGAGATGATGAGTTCTAATCCTGTCTTAGGTATGAAAGCTGGCTGGGTGACGGTGAGTTCTATCTCCCACTTTAGGCATGAGAGCTGGCTGGGTGTCTTTGGGCCAATCACCAGGAGATGGTGAGTTCTAGTCCTCTGTTGTGTATGAAAGCTGGCTGGGTGACGGTGAGTTCTAGTCCCACTTTAGGCATGAGAGTTGGCTGGGTAACTTTAGACCAATCACCAGGAGATGGTGAGTTCTAGTCCTGTTTTAGGTATGAAAGCTGGCTGGGTGACTGTGAATTCTAGACCCACTTTAGGCATGAGGGCCAGCTGGGTAACTTTGGGCCAGGCCCTCTCTCTCAGCCCAACCCACCTCACAGAGTTGTTGTTGTGGGGAAAATAAGAGGAGGAAGGCGTGTCAGATGTGCTTGCCATCTTAAGTTATTTGTAAAAATAAGAAACGCGACACACAAACAAACAAACAAACAAACAAACCCTAATTGCTGGCATGAATTGACTTTATACCAATACAAACATCAGCCAGATACGGATCCTAAACTTATTATTGCTGCCAGCCAAAACCACAACTATGTTTCCTGCTGGTATATATATATATATATTTAAAAAAACCACATTTTATAAGCATTTTAAACGATAAACAGGGAACTTCACCCCTCCTCCCTCTTGTACATGTACATAAATGTGCCACTCAGAAACCTCAAACAACCTAATTTATTGGGAGGCAAAAGATTAATATAACCCCCAAGTTCCTTGAACGCACACTGTTAAACGCCAACAGCTTGGCAGCATATGGCAAATCAATTACTACTTTCAATTTTGAAACTCACATTCACACATGCGCATTTTTTAAAAAAAAAAAAAATAAAATAAATAAATAACAGCCCCTGAACAAAAATGGAGATGAGGGAAGAGAGAAAGAAATGGCGAACAAGAGAGAAACAATAACACAGACGAGATGAACGTAGGCTGCTAGAATTTGGAATATAATTAATCATTATATTTTTTTGAACCCTGAAATAAGTGCTTGGCCTTATTGTCATGTGCTCAAAAGCCCGGTTGGGCTTATTATCAGGAGATGTCTTATTTTGGGGAAAACAGGGCAGATAGATAGATAGATAGATAGATAGATAGATAGATAGATAGATAGAATAGAAGATAGACAGTAGATAGATAGATGGATAGAGATAGATAGATAGATAGATAGATAGATAGATAGAAGATAGACAGTAGATAGATAGAAGATAGACAGTAGATAGATAGATAGATAGATAGATAGATAGATAGATAGATAGATAGATAGATAGGTGATAGATAGATACCATGTTTTCCTGAAAATAAGACCCTGTCTTATATATTTTTTTTGAACCCTGAAATAAGCGCCTGGCCTTATTGCCATGTGCTCAAAAGCCCAATTGGACTTATTATCAAGGGATATCTTATTTTGAGGAAAACAGGGTAGATAAATAGACAGACATAACCAATAAACTCCAGATAATAATAGTACAGAAGTGTATGACCAACCTAATTTTATGCCTTTTTTTTTTTGTGGCAGTTGTTAAAGTGAATCAATTGTTCACTATGAGCTGGTTTTGCCCAAAAAAACATGCTGGTTTTTCCAGAAAAAAATTTCACCACTGAGGTAATTGTTCACTATGGGCTGGTTTTGCCAAAAAAAAAACAAAAAACATGCTGGTTTTTCCACAAACAAATTTCACCACTGAGGTAATTGTTCACTATGGGCTGGTTTTGCCAAAAAAAAACATGCTGGTTTTTCCACAAACAAATTTCACCACTGAGGTAAAATGTGGCCGAGTGAGCCTGGGATACTGCCAACTAAATGTGAGGTGGCTAACGAGCATCCAACATGGATTCCTGTGACCAGTGGGGGGAGGGGCGGTGGCAGTTGGTCCCAAGTCCCTCAGGAAGTTTATTTATTTATTTATTTAATTTATTTATTTTAATAAACAAATATACATATACAAACATACACATGTTTATATGTGTTTTATAGATACATAAATTACCAAAGTAGCTCTATTCTCAAAGCTCAAGCTGTAGGACTTGATTTTAATGTATAGTTAGTATATGTATAAATATACATATACTAACTATACATTAAAATCAAGTCCTACAGCTTGAGCTTTGAGAATAGAGCTACTTTGGTAATTTATGTATCTATGTTATCTGTATATGTATAAATCTTTCATTATATAACGATATTTATGTAACAGTGTTTCATTTTATTTCCTCATTTTTGTGTCCTTAGGTGGTATTTCCTTGTTTCATCTTCCTTTTCTCTAACCAATTGTGCCATTTTTGCCAAATTAGATAAAAATCTGAATCTTATTTATTTATTTATTTATTTATTTATTTATTTATTTATTTATTTCAGATTTCTATACCGCCCTTCTCCTTTCGGACTCAGGGCGGTGAACAGCCAAAATAAAACATTTGTACACAAAAGTTAAAATAGATTTAAAATAATTAAATAAAATTTGGCCCATAATTTAAAACATTTCAATTAAAATCAATATCAAATTTTAAAAACCAACCATAAAATCAGGATAGTTCAAACCATTGCTAAGCAACCGGTCATAAGTTGAAGAACTACCTGTATTTTTTTTTATTTTTTTTTTTAAAAACCCTTTCTTTGGACATATCATGCATCAAATCCAGCCTCAACTTCCCTTCCTTTCATCTGAAGAGCTTTCTGGATTTCTTGCTGCCTTTGGGGCACCGAAAGAAGATTTTTGGGGGCGGGCTGGAAGGGGTGGGGACAGATTTGAAGGAAAGTTTTTTTTTTTTTTAAAAAAAGCAGGTATTTAAAAAAAATTATTTTTTTTTTAAAAAAGGAAAAAGGCGATGCCTTTTAACGAGGAACAATAAAAAGCCAGTCTCTCTGGAGCCATAATTAGAGGGAATTAATTGAAGTTGTGTTTTGACACCGTTGCCGAATGCGCCGGCGATGCATGACGACTCCGCCCGCTGCACGCTGAACCGGAGGGGGGGAGAAGAGGGGAGGGGGGGAGAAGCATGGCAGAGGACTGCCCCCTTCACCCCCGCCGCTGCTGCCACTTGCAATGCGTGGCAGATCGGCAGCCGGCTATTCCCTCCTGCCCTACTCGAGCGAGTAGGCAAAGTTAGCCCTGAAAAGATATTAACAATTAATTACTAGGACTTGGGAGAGAATCTCGGGTGGGGAGGGAGGGGGGTGGTGGAAAGGGAGGGGCAGCTCATTAATATGAGCAAATGCCAATTAATTCTCCCCACCGGCGGCAGACAAAACGAGCAATGCACTCGCCCCCCCTTTGCCCCACTCCCCCGTCAGCGTTCAAATGACAGCACGGGAAGGGGGTTGATCAAAGAGGAAGAAGAGAAATAACGCCTGTGTGGGTGTGGGTCTCTATATTTGTGTGTAGGTTGTGTGTGTTTGTGCAAGGGGGTGGGATGTTCTCCTCTCCCCTCCATAAATTGGGAAGAAAAATAAATAAATAAATAAACCAGCCTTGGAGAGCAGGGTAAAGGGATGACAAAGAGGGGAACGGTCTCGCCCGGCGCCTGGCTCCTTCCAAGACAAAATGGAAGCCTGCCCGATCTTTGGGTTCCGCTGCTTGTCTACCATTCGGTGTGAGTGGAATACCAATGTCAACTTATTCTCTTTTGGCTACCAATAAATCGTTCACCAGTCAACTCTCCTGCTTAAAGAGTTGGAGGTTTGGGGGTGGGTGGGGTGAAGAGGAGGAGGAGGAAGAAGAGAAGGAGAAAGAGAGGGAGAAGGAATAGTGGAAAAGAGGAGAAAAGAGAAGGGGAGGAGGAGGAAGAGAAGGGGGAAGAGGAGGAGGAGGAGAAGAAGGAGAAGAGGAGGAGGAAGAAAATAATGAGAAAAAGAAGAAAAATTAAGGAGAAGAAATGCGGAGGAAGAAGAGAAGGAGAAAGAGAGGGAGAAGGAATAGTGGAAAAGAGGAGAAAAGAGAAGGGGAGGAGGAGGAAGAGAAGGGGGAAGAGGAGGAGGAGGAAGAGGAGAAGAGGAAGAGGAGGAGGAGAAGATAAGGAGAAGAGGAGGAGGAGGAAAAAGAAAAAAAGTGTGTGTCACAGTAACGGGATCCCAAAATTAACGTTCGGTAGGACAAAACTATCACCCCTTTTAAAGTTCCCAGCCTGCCTGTCATTGATCGATACTGCCCATTCAAAAAAAAAAAAATTAATAATATCATAGCTGTTACTACAGCTGAGAAAGGAACACAAATACAGACACAGATGGACAATAAATAGGTCAGACGTAGAACCCCGGAGTGTAAGATGTTGTGAGGGGATCTTGCAACTGGCTGTTTCTGAATTTGGGAATTTAATCTGGAAACTTAAAGTGGCCACAGATAGCAGTCAAGCCAAGGGTGAAATCCAGCAGGCTCTGACAGGTTCTGGAGAACCGGTAGCAGAAATTTTGAGCAGTTTGGAGAACTGACAAATACCACCTCTGACTGGCCCCAGAGTGGGGTGGGAATGGAGATTTTGCAGTATCCTTCCCCTGCCACACCCACCAAGCCACGCCCATCAAGCAACACCCACAGAACCGGTAGTGAAAAAAATTGGATTTCACCACTGAGTCAAGTGTATGTCCATCTCGAGGAATGATGCTTCAAAAGCCCTTAGTTTTCGACTTAGGTTCATCTGGAAACCATCGTTGGCAAGGAAGAATTTAAAAAGCCCACATCTCACCTGGGAAGGTTGGCAGCTGGTGTTGTGGCTGGTGCTTGTGGAGAAGGTGTGGTAGGCTGAGATGATTCATGGTTTCGAGGGACCTTCCCCATCCGATACCAGATCCCCATGTTGTTCAATTCCCTTTTCAGCAAAGAGAGAAAAGAATTGAGATCCATTCAACGTAAAACATAAAATAATAGGGTTTGAAAGGACCTTAGAGATCTTCTAGTACAAGCAGGAAACGTTATGCCATTTCAGATGAATGGCTGTCCAATCTCTTCTTGAAAACCTCCAGAAATGGAGCAGCCACAAAGTCTGTTCCACTGATTGTTCTCACTATCAAGAAATTTCTCCTTAATTCTAGGTTTGATCTCTCCTTCCTAAGTTTCTATCTGTTACTTCTTGTCCTGCCCTCTGATGCTTAGGAGAATAGGTTGATAGAATAGAATGAAATAGGAATAGGAATAGGAATGGGAATGGGAATGGGAATAGGAGAGGAGAGGAGAGGAGAGGAGAGGAGAGGAGAGGAGAGGAGAGGAGAGGAGAGGAGAGGAGAGGAGAGAATTAGAATAGAATAGAATAACGTATAGAATAGAATAGAATAGAATAGAATAGAATAGAATAGAATAGAATAGAATAGAATAGAATAGAATAACAGAGTTGGAAGGGACCTTGGAGGTCATCTAGTCCAACCCCCTGCTTAGGCAGGAAACCCTACACCATTTCAGACAAATGGTTATCCAACATCTTCCAGTGTTGGAGCATTTACAACTTCTGGAGGCAAGTTGTTCCAATGATTAATTGTTCTCACTGTCAGGAAATTCCTCCTTAGTTCTAAGTTGCTTCTCTCCTTGATTATTTTCCACCCATTGCTTCTTGTCTTGCCCTCAGGTGCTGTGGAGAATAGCTTGACTCCCTTTCTTTGTGGCAACCCCTGAGATATTGGAACCCTGCTATCCTGTCTCCCCAGTCCTTCTTTTCATCAGACTAAACATACCCAGTTCCTGCAACTGTTATTCATATGTTTTAGCCTTCAGTCCCTAATCATCCTGGTTGCTCTTCTCTGCACTCTTTCTAGAGCCTCCACATCTTTTTTTATATTGTGGTGACCAAAACTGAATGATCTCCTTTTCTTTGTGACAGCCCCTCAAATATTGGAAAACTGCTATGATGACACCCATAGTCCTTCTCTTTGTTACACTAGACATACCTAGTTCCTTCTATTATTCATTGTATGCTTTATTGAGTTGGTAGAAGACACAACAAAGGCCCTTAGGAATAGTTTAGAAATGAGCCAGAGGTCCTACTGGAAGGGAAACCTGGCCTCATCTGAAAAAAGCCAAGGAAAGGTCCTGATTTCAGAGAAAAATGAAAATTATCTCCATACCCAATGTACGTATACTGTGGAAGAGTTTGTTTGCCTCGGCCAAGGATCCGGATATCACAAATGGCGGCCTCTGTAGAATCCCGGGGAATAAATTTAATGCACAACCTCTTTTTCCGAAAAGCAGTTTCTTCTGAAAAAAAGACAGGGCGAGTTTAAAGAATCTCTTCTCTTTGCGAGTAGTTGATGAAGAAAGAGAAAACGAACGATGATTATTCTCAACTATTCCAATTTCTCCTTCCCACCCGCCTCGTGCCTTGCCATCGCCAAGCTTTCTGGTCAAGTTGTAGAGAAATTTTATCCCGGATCATGAGGAGAGACGCGAATAACTAGACTTTTAAAACTTGGTGGAACTTCTGCCGAAGGGAAGTGCCAATTGTGGACTTTGTGTACAGCGTCAATCCTAAAGAAAAATGCTATTTGAGGGAGGAGGAGGGCAGGATGACGACACTGGGACATCCAGCTACATTGGATGAAGCTCACACTGGCGCCAGTTACGGTGGTTCCTTATTATGTGTGAGGGAAATTTCATCCAGAACTTCTCAGAAGGCACCATTCCTGGTGGCAGAATGTTGACCAAGATGTTTCTATAGTTCAGGAATTCTTTTAGCTTCTTTCCCTCTTGAACCAGAGGTGGATTTCAACAGCTTCTGACCAGTTCTGGAGAACCGGTAGCGGAAATTTTGAGTAGTTCGGAGAACCGGTAGTAAAAATTCTGACTGGCCCCACCCCCATCTATTCTCTGCCTCCCAAGTCCCAGCTGATCGGGAGGGAATGGAGATTTTACAGTATCCTTCCCCTGGACTGGGGTGGGAATGGAGATTTTACGGTATCCTTCCCTTGCCATGCCCACCAAGCCATGCCATGCCCACCAAGCCACATCCACAAAACTGGTAGTAAAAAATTTTGAAACCCACCACTGCCTTGAACCTCAGCCTTTAACCTCCTCTTCTCTTGTCTAGTCTGGATTTTGATGGGTTGATCTTCAACTGCAACCCAACGGTAGGGATGCAGATAGGATTCAACTCAATCCATAGCTGGTGTGTCAAGAGAATCCTCTCCTGGGTTGAATCTAGAGAGGATCTGATCACAGTGAAGGCGACTAACTCTACTTACGTGTATCCATAGTTTCTTGAATCGGGATGAAGCCGACAGGCAAAGTATCTTTTACGTCTATGAGTTTCATGTCAACCAAGACATTACCTAAATGACTCTGTTGGAAGAGAGGTAGAAGACTCAATGACTGGCAAATAATGGAGAATTCAGCCAAAGCTAAACCACCCCCAATAAACATAAACTACATTTCCACAAGACCGTTAATATGATGACTCCATTCATCCAGTCAATAAGATTATTGTATAAACACAATTTATGTATCCAGACTTTCCCTGCTCACTTGAGCTTCAGCTTAAGTTTGGGTGCTGAATCAAGAGGGATGGCTTTGGAAGATTAAATCTTGGATAAGACCATTATTTGAGCATTGGCAAAGAGACTGGAATGATTGTAAACATTCAATCAATCAATCAATCAATCAATCAATCAAATCTGTATTATGGTTATGTTGTTCTTAGTTGTGAAGTCACATCTGACCCATCGCGACCCCATGGACCACGTTCCTCCAGGCCATCCTGTCCTCTACCATCCTCTGGAGTCCATTTAAGCTCACGCCGACTGCTTCAGTGACTCCATCCAGCCACCTTGTTCTCTTCCGTCCCCTTCTTCTTTTGCCCTCCATCGTTCCCAGCATTAGGCTCTTCTCCAGGGAGTCCTTCCTTCTCATTAGGTGGCCAAAGGATTTGAGTTTCATCTTCAGGATCTGGCCTTCTAAAGAGCAGTCAGGGTTGATCTCCTCTAGGACTGACCGGTTGGATCGCCTTGCAGTCCAAGGGACTCGCAGGAGTCTTCTCCAGCCCCAGAGTTCAAAGGCCTCTATTCTTTGGCGCTCAGCCTTCCTTATGGTCCAACTTTCACAGCCATCCATTGCAACTGGGAAAACCAGAGCCTTGACTATACGCACTTTTGTTGGCAGGGTGATGTCTCTGCTTTTTAGTAGGCTGTCTAGATTTGCCATAGATTTCCTCCCCAGGAGCAAGCGTCTTGGGGACGCTTGAAGTCCCCATCTGAGGTGATCTTGGAGCTCAGGAAAATAAAATCTGTCACTACCTCCATTTCTTCCCCATCTATTTTCCAGGAATTGAGAGGGCCGGATGCCATGATCTTACATTTCTAAGATTATGTTATAGACTATGGTTATAGACTAAGGTTATGGTTTTCTAAGATTATAGTTATAGACCAGCATAAATCAGACTGGGACATTTGCTTAAAATGTCCTTATTTCGAGAGATGCTGATGACATACTACCAGAAGGAGCATCTTTCCAGAAGTTCTTCTTCCCAAAATTACAAAGCATGGAAACAGCTCCAGTTTTATGACAACACAACCGTAGAAAAAAAAATTACACAGACAGGGAACCTCCTTATCTGGGCAGAAAAGACATCCATCCGTTTTGCTAATCAGCTTCCTTTTCGAAGCTTTTGCCCAAAAAGTCCAGTAAGCAAAGCAAAATTGAAAAAAAAAAAAAGAGAGAGAGAGAGAGAGAGATGTTTCCTCCATGCCAAGTTGGAACCAGGAAACCTGCTTGGAATCCAAGCAAACGCCGTCCCTTATTAATTAAGGGCTGGAGAAGAAAACCACGTCCTACAGCAAAGACGTTATGCTCCCTTTTTGAAACATTTCCATCAGAAACCCCATATCTGGGATCTCCCTTGTTTCGACAGCCATACAAGTTGAGGCCCGTCGTCCTGTGTCAGCATAAGCCTTCTGGGGCTTGGGGGCAAATGGGAGGGGAGATATGGATTTTGCACCCTGCATAATCAAGATGCATTTTCCACCCACCCACCCCCACCGCAAGAATCTTGGCACAGGAGACCAAAGAGAATGTGAATAAATGGGGAACAATTCTGACTAGGAACCAACAATTTTGTTATGTGTCTGCCTTCGAGTCAGCCTCAACTTCTGGCAACTCACAGACAAGACCGTACAGCTTTCTTGGCAACAACTTTTGGAAGGGAAGGGCTTCCTAGGATTGAGGGAGGACTAGCCCTACCTCCCACCAAGGAATTTCCATGGCTGAGTGGGGTACAACCTTCAACATTATTTGCATCTGGCTCTTGGGCTGAGAGACAGGGACCAGCCCAAAATCAGGCAGTTGGCTTTGGTGCCTACAGCAAGAATAGAATTCATGGCCTCTAATCTAAAACCAGAATCTCCTGGCTCATAGTCTCCTGCTTCTTTTATTTATTTTATTTATTTATTTGTCGAGTACGTTAGATAATATATATAAGTATAAACACGAATTGAATACATAAAATGAATACAATTAAAAGGGAACATTAGGACAGGGATGGAAGGCACGCTGGTGCGCTTATGCACGCCCCTTACAGACCTCTTAGGAAAGGGGTGAGGTCAACAGTAGACAGTCTAAGGTTAAAATTTGGGGGGTTTGGGGATGAAACCACAGAGTCAGGTAGTGCATTCCAGGCGTTGACCACTCTGTTGCTGAAGTCGTGTTTTCTGCAATCGAGTTTGGAGCGGTTCACTTGAAGTTTGTATGTATTGTATGTATATATGCTATACATACTATACAAGTATGTATGTATACTTACGTTCTCTTTGGAGAAAGTCCGTGTGAAGCACAAATATCGTGTGACCTTGGATTTGAACAAGCCATCTTTCCAAAGATCAGCATCTAAGCCATCTGCTGTTTGTGCAACCTGGGGGGGGGGGGGCGGGGGGAGAGAGAGAAAGGGAAGTTGTGTCTGTAACTAGGGAACATCATCAGTGTTGGGTATTCACATCTTCAGGCGCTGAAGATGTTACTTAATTGGGTAATGAAATATCTGCAAGAAAAGAACCAAGCTCAGGGAGCACCAAAGACCCCCACTGTCCTCCCCCTCCTCCTCCACTCCACTAACATTATCCCCTTCTGGCACTGATGATGTTACTTAGTTGGGTCATGAAATGTCTGCAAGAAATCCTCCAAGCTCAAGAGAGCACCAAGGACCCCACAACCTCTGATGCATTTAATAAACCATGTTTAAAACAAGCCACAGTATAGTACAGGGGTGCACCCAGTGTTGGCCGACTTGTTATGATGGTCATACCCAAGAGACGGGACCTTTTCTGGAGTGGCTTCCGTAAAGAATATTTTCTCTGAGGATTGTCTAGTCCCATGATGGTGAATCTATGGCATGCGTGTCACAGGTGGCACACGGAGCCATATCAGAGGGCATGTGAGCTCAGCTCCATGGGCCAGCTGATTTTCAGGCCCATGGAAGTTGGGAAACAGGCTGTTTCCAGCCTCCGGAGGGCCTCGGAAGGGGGAAGGAGGCCATTTTCGCCCTCCCCAGGCTCCTAGAAAGGCTCTGGAGCCTGGGGAAGGCGAAAAATGGGCCTACCGGGCCATCATGTGCCAAAAGCAGGGGTAGCGCAGGGATCGGGGTGCATAGAATTTCCCCACTTTTGGTATGCAATGGCAAAAGGGTTAGCCATCACTGGTCTAGTTTGTTCCCTTTTTCAGAAAGTCCAAAAGACTATCTTGTATTTATCCAACCTTTCTGTTGATAAAACATTCTTCTCCAACCCTTTTCATTGGCTTGAGGAGTTGCATCCAACCAGCCTCTACAAATGTTGCAAAGAAATAAATAGTACCACAATCCAAAATAAAGACCCTAAGCTTATTTTTACTTGGCGGTCAAAGGCAGACTGAAAAAAAATAACACAAACTGACCCACAATCCAAGGAAACCATCAAAATGGGAATCCACAGCAAATATCCGCAAAGGTGTTTTTTTTTATTTTTAATTTTTTTTAACACAACTCTTGGCAAGTGGACAAGCTTGTGCAAGAAAATCATCAATGCATCTTCAAAACCAGTTTGCAATTTGGTTCAACCACAGAGGAGGCCATCTTCAAACCTCCCCAGTGGATAATAACAACACTGAAAAAACAAGGGATGTGTTTATTTCCGTCTGCGCTTTTAATCCAAGTGTTTTCAGGAAAGGAATGCCATTGTTGGAACGATCGGCAGATTTTTGGGCTCTGAGCCCATTTTAATTACTGGGACATGCTTCTCAGGATGCGCTAAATCTTAATTTTCTACAAGACGTTTTACGGGACATTCCTTGTTTGTCTCTCCCTTTCCCTTACATACATTCTGGGCTTGTGTGTGACACACTCTAACCCCGCATCTGAGTTCACGGACACTGTGGGATCGACAGACTGATTGATCCAACCTGGATCTCCACAGCTTCTTGAATTAACGATAGCTAATCCAATCAGGACTTTGCTAGAGACAGGACAATCTCAGCCTTAGCAGATGAAAATTGTTCCTGATAAAAGGAATTTGGCCATGTACGAAAAGCTGTTCAGATTTCTCTTTGAGAAGTAGGACAGGATATAACCTCTGGACCAATTCCTAGTTGAGGTGTCTACATCTCTTAGGAGTTGATGTCTAAATTGGCTTTTCTTTCTTCTTTCTCTTTCTTTCTTTCTTTCCTTCCTTCCTTTCTCTTTCTTTCTTTCTCTTCCTTCCTTCCTACTTATCTATTCTCCCTATCATCTCTCTCCCTCCCCCTCCCTCTAATCTCATCTATTTCTCAAATCAATCAATCAATCAATCAATCAATCAATCAATCTCTATCTATCTATCATCTATATCTATCATCTATTATTCTATCTCTCTACCTACCTCTAATCTCATCTATTTCTCTAATCTCTCTAGTTTTCTATCTCTTTACCTACCTACCTACCTCTAATCTCATCTATTTCTCTAATCTATCTATCTATCTATCTATCTATCTATCTATCTATCTATCATCTATCTATCTATCTATCTATCTATCTATCTATCTATCTATCTATCTATATCTCTATCATCTATCTTTCTCTCTCTCTCTACCTACCTCTAATCTCATCTATTTCTCAAATCTGTCTCTATTTTTCTATCTATCTATCTATCTATCTATCTATCTATCTATCTATCATCTATCTATCTTCCATCAATCTTCCATCTCTCTCTCTCTCTCAAAATCTGTTCTTTCTAGTAAATTTTACTTTGCCTTATGATGTTTTCCGCATGTAAAGATAAGCGAAAAACCCTGAAAAAGATGAAATTCTGAGTGATTAAATGCTGTGCTGTTTTCAGCCAGATTTAAGAACCTTGGCATGCAATTGTTGTTTTTCAACGTTGTTTATAAAAGCAAGCCAATAAACCCAGCATTCCATTATTATTATTATTATTATTATTATTATTATTATTATTATTATTATTATTTAAAAAGCGAGGTTGGGGGAGTTTGAAAAGAAGAAACTTCAAAGAAGTGATTTCATCTCGGGGGTAATTTCCTCCCTGCCTCGAGCATTCTGATGATAAAACATTTGCTACAAAATGTGTGCAGCGGTGGAATGTCGACAATGCGGTTTTATTTCAATCTCCCTCCACCACCACCCAAAAAAAGCAAAAGCTTTTTGGGATGTGCCAGAAGTAAAAAAGAGAGAGCAGCGTGCCAGACCCAAAGCCTGGGAAATTCAAGCATGAGGGAATCTACTAACTAGGAGAATAAATGGGCAACCACAAAAACAGTGGAAAATAGTTGAAACTTCCAACAGAAGAAGAACTGAGCCTGGCCTTCCAGAACCAAATAAGTCTTTCTTTCTTTGTTTCTTTCTCTCTTTTTTTTTGCCTTTTTTCCATTACAGAATGCAGCTTTTTTAAGTTGGGAAGAAAAGATCCCTTTATCACACTTTTAAGAAAAGAGCTTTGAAAATTAATGCAGATTAAGAAAAGGGAGCAAGACGTGGCTGGGAATATGAAACCTCTCTTGGTATTTTTCTCTTCCTCTTTACCCTTACACTTTACACTTCCTCTAGTGTACAGGCAGTCCTCGCCTTACGACCACAACGGACGCCAAACTTTCTGTGTGCTAAGCGGGAACATTTGTTCAGTGAGTTTTGTCCCGTTTTACGACTTTTTCTTGCCATGCGAATCCCTGCGCTTGTGAAGTTAGCAACATGGGTTGTTAAGTGAATTGGGCTTCCCTGTGGACTTTGCTTGTCCAGAAGGTCTCAAAAAGTAAATGCATGACCCCCTCCCCAGGCCACTGCCACCATCATAAATAAGAATCAGTTGCCAAGCATCTGAATTTTGATGATGTGACCCTGAGGATGCTGCAATGGTCATAAGTCTGAAAAACAATCATAAGTCACTTTTTTCCAGTTCCGTTGTAACTCTGCACAGTGTGGCCCGCCAGCGGATCTTGGCAGCAGATTCGGACAGTGGGGAGGTTGGGGAGGAACATGGGCCAGTCCTGGAGTCTGGGGAAGGCTCTGAGGAGGGCTCTGCGTCGGAGGCAGAGAGGGTGCCAGGCCCGTCTGACAGTTATCAACTGCCTTTGGAATCAGACATCAGTGAGGGAGAAGAACAGCTGGAGCCTGTTCCCAGTATGCGCATGCGCAGAGTTGCCAGACAAAGGGAAGAGCTAAAGAACAAGGGTCGACTTGGGAGTAAGGCCACAGGTGGACAATGAATAGCCCCTCCCAGAGGGAACAAAAGAGGAGCGAAAGGGGAGTTTGCAGGAGACAATTATTGCCTCAGTAATTGTGAACTATCTTGAAAGACTGTGGGAGAAGAAAGACTTTGCTGGAAAGGAATTCACTGTAAATCAAATAAAAGGGGTTTTAGGACTTCCAGCGGTGACGTCAGCGTGTCAGGGACCAAGGGGACTGCGCTCCGTTCCCTAAGTTCCAATTTTCGATCTGGGAGCCACTTTTTTGGCACTATTGACCACGAAGAGGTCAATAGATTAAAGGGGAAATTCCCGAGGACCTCGGAGGTGACAGCAATCGCCCCAAAGGTTCAGGGGAAACCCCTTAATTCCGACCGAAAAAATCCCAGCCCTTTCTGGGCTGGCCGGAACGCTGACTGCCATCTCAGAAATGGAAGCGAAGATTGAATAAAGACATCACCAAATCAACAAAGAATAAGACTGTGAAAGGTACATACATACAGTGACGGAAGTATAAGTAAGAGAGAGACTCCGAACAGATCGGCAAGGCTGAGCCATAAGGAAGCGGCGAAGTGAAAGCAAACAGAGCGAATCAGTGAGACCATCCATCCATCCATCCATCCATCCATCCATCCATCCATCCATCCTTTATCTATTTCCATCTATATTCCCAGCTTGTTCTTCTAAGAACATCAGAAATCGCGGCCTGAAAACAACTGCCTTCAGCATAATCTTAAGACCTCAAAAAACCTACAGCTACCTCTCCTTGTTATCCCAAAACTTCCTTCTTGGAAAGCTGTCAAAATCTGGGCCGCCAGCCTGCACATGTTTGAACGTCTTAGCCTCCAAGGACATTCTCTGCCTCTTTCCCTGCGGAATGCCAAAAGCACAATTCACTCATCTCTGCCCGATGCAAAACAAAAACCTAAACATTTAAAATCCAGCCCAACTTTGTGCCAACGGGGCAAATGTGCCAACTCGGGGATTCGTGCGCGCTCCTTACAACAGGGATGGGTGAGGAAGTGGAGTTCTAATGAACCTCTCCCTATCAGGTAAATATCCTCAGCTTAGACTTCTGGCAGGTTGATCCTCTGCTGATCCAGTTCTACAGAGGAACTATTGAGTCTGTCATCTGCACTTCTATAACTGTCTGGTTTGGTTCTGCAACCCAACAAGACAGACACAGACTTCAGAGGATGATTAGAACTGCAGAAAAAACAATGGCTACCAACCTGCCTTCCATGGAGGTCCTGTATCCTGCACGAGTCAAAAAGAGGGCTGGGAAAATATTTACAGACCCCTCGCATTGTGGACATAAACTGTTTCAACTCCTACCCTCAAAACGACGCTATAGAGCACTGCACACCAGAACAACTAGACACAAGGACAATTTTTCCCCAACACCATCACTCTGCTCAACAAATAATTCCCTCAACACTGTCAAACTAGTTACTAAGTCTGCACTACTATTAATCTTCTCATTGTTCCTGTCACCCATCTCCTCCCACTTACGACTGTATGACTGTAACCTTGTTGCTGGTATCCTTAAGATTTATATTGACTGTTTCCCTATGACTATCATTAAGTGTTATACCTTATGATTCCTGACGAATGTATCTTTTCTTTTTATGTACTCCAAGAGCGTATGCACCAAGACAAATTCCTTGTGTGTCCAATCACACTTGGCCAATAAAAAACTCTATTCTATTCTCCTTGCCCTTGAAAGGTTCCTATTGGAATCCTGAGGACTAGCAACTTGGCCTCTTTCATTCCAAACACGCCCTCCACGTTGGCGAAATCATGTTGCGCCAGTTTCCAAAACTGGGAATATCTGACCATATGGGAAAAGGGTCACCTTTGCTGGGCGTCGGGTTGGGTGGCATATAAATGCAATACACGGATGAATGGAACGGAATGCATTGATTAAAATAAATGTAACGCGTTAACATAAAGGTAATGCATTAATATAAATGAATGTAGTACGTTGATTAATATTAATGCAACGCATGTAATATAAATGCAGTGCGTTGACTAATATAGATTATTGTATTACAACATTTATAGTTAATATGCCAAGGAAAAGCAAACATCCTAACTGGATCAACTCGGTGGAGTTATAAGGAATTGGGCGAGGTTTGCAGGGCAGAATTATGACTCATCTGCTCTAACCACCATCCAAAAACCTAAATAGTAACCACAAATAGTCCTCGACATACGGCGATTCACTTAGTGACCGTTCAAAATTACGACGGCGCCTAAAAAAGTGACTTACAATCGTTTTTTCTCAGTTACGACGGCTGTCTCGATCATGTGAATTGGCAACAGGATGCTTGGCAACTGACTCCTATTTATGACGGTTGCAGGGTCCTGCAGTCTTAACGTGATCCCCTTTTGCGACAAGCCAAGTCAGTGGGGAAGCCACTGATTCACTGAACAACCGTGTGATTAACACAACTGCCTGCGAATTCATTTAACGACGGTGGCAGGAAAGGTGGTAAAACGGGAGCAAAACTCACTGAAGCAATGTCTCGCTTAGCAACAGGGATTTGGGGCTCAATTGTGGTCATACATCAAGTGACTGCCTCCATTTAGACCACTTCTGTAGGCCCAATAAAACTTTCCAGCCAACTGGAATTAAGAAAATGAGATTTACATCTCTTTTGCTATCTGGTTCAGTAACGTGTCATCAATATTGCCCAGTTCCTATGCTGATTAGACTTAGTGATGGCTACAGACACCTTGGGTATAATGGGAGTTAGAAGGGACTTATAGAGGTCTTCTAATCCAACCCCCTGCTACATCCGGGAACATACTCTTGATAAATCTTCAAAAGTCAGTTCTCGATTCTCACTTTGAGTGGGAGGTTGGGGGCGGGGGGAAATAAAACAAATAAACCATCCTTCTTGGAATTTGAAGTGGTGAACTCAACGCTCCCTTATCAGCCCTCAAGTATGAGGAAATACAGTAGCTATGGATGGAAGACTCCTGTTTGAGATTCCAGACAGGTGATTTTGCAAAATTCTTTTTTTTTTTTTTTTGGCTGGTCTTTCCTGGGACTGAAACACCAACAGGTTCTTTGAACCTCTCCTTTATTTAGTTTTCTCTTTAAATATATATATATTGCAATATATATATTGCAAGTTCTCCCAAACAATATCATTAACTAGGAAGGTGCTGGTTTGGCTAAGACAAGTAGATCGGCGATAGGATAGGATCACAGCAACAATCCTCAAGAAGGCCTCGAAAACCTGCGTTTTTGCAAACTATGCAGCTAAGGGCTCAGGGCAAAAAAAAAAAAATTCCCCCATAAAAACCAGTGCTAGGGTTGGATTGCAAAGAAAAAGATTACAAGAACAAACAAGCGGTTAAGCCAGATTTATAGAAACAGCCTTGGAAAACAGCCTGTGGAAAAAAAAAAAAAAAAAAAAAAAAGCAGGGGTAGAATTGAAAATAAAACACGGTGTCATCGAAGTACCTTTCCCTATGAATAAATTTGTGTTGTTTTTTTAAGTTGCTAGTCCTCTTGAGGTTGTGAAAAGAATCCAGTGACATCTGCCTCGGCACGCTGTTTGCAAGAATGACGAATCAACTGTACAACTTTCCTTTTTTAAAAAACTGACCTTAGCAATGTGCATGCACTGTTTTTAATTTCTATTCCCCATTATTATTATTATTATTATTATTATTATTATTATTATTATTATTATTAATCTTTAGTGAGATTCACAGCCTTTGAGGCTGGTTAATAGCTCAGCAGCTCAAGTCCTAACCAAGGACCTAGGAACTGTTAAGGTATTATTATTATTATTATTATTATTATTATTATTATTATTATTATTATTATTATTATTATTATTGTGTTTTAATTTTAGAACTGCTTTCGGAAAAATAAAGGGCCGGATAGGAACTGGTATGGAATGATTTGAACGATCACCAAGTACTGATGAAAGTAGAAGGCAGAAAAAGCTGGATTCAAGATATGACAACTCACCAAACCAGGATAAATTTCCACATGGCTGTTGGGAGAACAGCTAGTCTGCATTCTTACACTGTGCTAAGACAGTTTACAACTTCACTTATCTGGGGTACTCACTCCTTACTTTAGCATAGGTGAAACAGCCTATCCAGTGGAATAAAAAACATTAGTTTTTTATTTTATTTATTGATAAAAGAAAGTATTTGTAGCTCAGGGTTGAACCAACACTGAGAGGGCAAGCCACTAGAATATAAAATGAGAGCGGATCCCGCTCCTTACTAGCCCTGATGATGTTACCTACTTTGGTAATGAAACGTCTGCAAGAACGAGAGAAATCAAGCCTTTTTAGTAGCGATTTAAATCACGGTTTAAATCGTGCTTTAAATCGACTTGATTTAAATCCAATCCACCCCTGTACAAACACAAAGGAGAAAGGAAACCGTTCCGGATTTCATACTCACCACGTCGTAATTGGTTGGTGCTCGGCTCCGGGAGGCTACGACGCCAACGCCGGTGATGGGATCCATAGGCACGTTGGCCAAAGCATCGGTGAGCTCTCTAACCTCGGGCATGGTGGACGGATCCTGGAAGACAAGAAGAATCCAGAGGCAGAGACAGGTCACAATGCAAATTTTAGGGATTGGGTGCATCGTAAGAAATTGCCTGAACCGGGCTGGGTGCTTGTCGACCAATCCCCGTTTAAGGGCTCACTTGTTCCGGCTTGCTATTCTGAGAAGTTTGCGTTCTCATCAGATAAGGGCTACCTTTCCAGAGAATTTGCAAAATGTTTAAAGAAGTGCTTGGAAGAGAACACACACAGGGCATCATCTCAATGAGAAAAAAAGATTGATTTTTTTTTTCCTCCTTGGTCCCAGCCAAAATAAATAAATAAAAAAATAAATCCAAGCAGAAAACCAAAAAAAAAAAAAAAAGAAAAAAGAAAAAAAAGGATTTCTAAGCATCAAGGCAGCCTTTCCGTTCCAATATTTTAATTTTCCAGAACTAAAAGAAGTATTTTATTTATTTATTTATTTAGGGAATTTATACGTCCGCCCACTCACTTTCGGTGGCTCTAGGCCAGGATTCGGCAACCTTAAACACTCAAAGAGCCATTTGGACCCGTTTCCCACAGAAAAGAAAACACCGGGAGCCACAAAACCCTTCCCGTGACTGACTATTTCTTGAGCGGCCACAAAACTAGCATATGTTGTTGAATTAAATGTTCTGTTTTCTTCTGAAACTTTTCTTTTCTTGGATTTATCCATGGTTGGCCTACCGGGGGTTGAAAAGCTCAATAAATCGCGTGCCGACAGGTGTCGCACATTGGCGGTTGTGACACATATTTTGAATGACAGGGAGCCGCAGCAGAGCGGTGAAAGAGCCACATGCGGCTCCAGAGCCGCAGGTTGCTGACCCCTGCTCTAAGCGGCTTGCAAATATACCGACTCGAGTTGCTTCGACTCAAATCTCATCTGCTTTGAGGTCGCCCCGAAAGTGGTTTGAACCCGCAGCCACGTGGAAAAGGACTGAAGCGTGAAGAGCTGATGCCTGAGTTTACTACTTTGTTTCTCTTCCCTCCCCATCCCGCTTTCCTTCCACGCCGTGCTTTTTAAAACGTCCATTCAAGGGAGAAAAAGACTGCATCGGTGCTTATATTCCTAAATTGCTGAGAAATTGCCGTTTCCGTCTTGAAATTCAGCCTTCAAGCATTGGAACAAAAAAACCCAGAAGTTTAAGGGGGAGAGGACCTAAAACTGCAGAACCATCAAGAGCTTCCAGAGACTTCCATCTTCTAGAGTTGAATTGTATTATTCTGGAATCCTTCTAGAGTTCTAGTTCGTCTTCTAGAATTCTAGAGTTGACTTATATTGTTCTGGAATCCCTCTAGAGGCCTAGCTAGTCTTCTAGAATTCTAGCTTATTTTATATAATTCTGGAATTCTAGAGTTCCAACCCCTCTAGAATTTCGGGTTGTATTTATATTATTCTGGAATCCTTCTAGAGCTCTAGTTCTTTTTCCCCCCCCTAGAATTCTAGAGTCCAATTATGTTATTCTGGTCCAGGTGGAAGGCTAGATGGCTGGAGGGGCTTAAACCTGGAACGAAGGGGTACTAAAATAAGAATATTTCTTCCCCAGCCAAGACTGGTATTGTTAGTGAACAGGAAATATGTCATTTTGCAGCACAAAGGGAAATATAACTTCTCCCAATTAGCTTTCGGCAGGAAGGAGGGAAGGAAAGAATGGAGGGAGGGAGGGAGGGAGGAAGGAAGGAAGGAAGGAAGGAAGACGGGAGGAAGGAAGGAAGGAAGGAAGGAAGGAAGGAAGGAAGGAAGGAAGGAAGGAAGGAAGACGGGAGGAAGGAAGGAAGGAAAGAAACATGGTTTCAGGATCCTGGTCTGTTTAAAATATTTATGCCACCACTGAGCTTCCGACTGCATTCACACCAACCTCTTTCCTTGTATATTGTAATGGCCTCCCACCTATAACTCTAGGTGCATCACAACACACTCATAAAGGTATGTCTACATTCCTAGAAAGGGGCTCTCCCACCCCAGGCATCTGGGGACGGCCACCCACACAAACACACAATCAAGTATGACTTTATTATTATTATTATTTTGCAACTCCTTTGTGATAGTTTTCCTGCCCTGGGAGGAGGCTGCATTTTGCCTTGAGATTTCTTTCCCCAAAGTTACTCCCTCTTCAAGGTATGTAGGATGGCAGGGATCCTAAGGAGTTTCTGTAGGGTATACCGTGGGGGTCCTTGGGTCTCTCTCTCTGAGCCGGATGGTTTTCTTGCAGAAGTTTCGTGACCCAACTAGGTAACGTCATCAGTGCTACAAGGGAGTGGGGTTTGCGGAGCGGAGGAGGTGGTTTATAGGGTCTCTCCGAGACTGGTGGTTTTCTTGCAGACATTTCATTACCAAACTAGGAAACATCATAGGTAGTAGAAAGGAGTGGGATGTCCTCTTCCCCTGCTGGCACTGATGATGTTACCTAGTTTGGTAATGAAACGTCTACACCAAGCTCAGGGAGCAGCAAAGACACTAAAGTTCAACCCTGAACTACAAATACAAATAGTCCTTGACTTTCAACAGCTCGATTAGTTCGCCAGTTCGAAGTTACAACAGCACTGAAAAAAGTTGACTTATCACCGACCGTTGCAGCATCCCTGTCATCAAAATTCAGACACTTGGCAACAGACTCGTATTTACGACGGAGTAGTGTCCCTTTTCCGACTTTCTGACACGCAACGTCAGTGGGAAACCAGTTTTCATTTAACAACCATGTTACTAACTTAACAACTGTGGGTTGTAAGATGGGGCAAAATTCACTTAACAAATGTCTCACTTAGCATCAGAAAATTTTGAGTTGAATGGCGGTCATACGCCGAGGACTACCTGTATAGTAGTCCAACAGGGCCTCCAAATCTCAGCTGCAAAATATTCCCAAAATTGAGCAGCAATATTTAATACTGTTGCAAGAATCCACTTCGAAGCGCGCTGCACCTGGTGGGAAAACCTAAGAGTAGCTACACCACCCTGAAAAGACCGCGCACCGTTAATGCCTCGATGCGCTTCACACGTTAAAGTTTGCAAAACACGGCTTGCTCCGTGCACAACTGGCTCGATTCTCACGTCGCGAATTCACAAACCGCGGTGAACAAATTTATAATGACTTAGTTCACCCCAGACACTAACCTCGTTTCTCCACCCCACATCAGCTACCTTAAAACCTAGATTAAAGATAGCTTCGAGAGATATCCCGAATATCAAGGCGTAAACTGATAAGCTGCACACCAAGTAGGCTTCACTGTTGTTACACCGAATATACAACTAACTGGCTGAATTGTATACATTACAACTTGCTATACTGGCATTTAGCAAGGTTTACTTTCATCACTCCATACTAGTTTACAAAGACAACATTCCCTGTCAACAAACAAGGAAACTACATGATGGCTTAGCAGGTTTGACTGAACAAGCCTGTAGCAATCTACAGTCAACCCATTGAATATTTCCAATATATTGCTAACTCGTCCCAAAACTGTCACACTTCCTTATCCTGTAGCCCTTCCTGGCTTCCCTTCAGCTTTTCTTTGGAGGTGGGGGATGAACTCTGATTAGCTCTTGTTAACCTAACAGTAGCAGTTTTTAAAAATAAATAAATAAATAAATGAATAATATAAAATAAACACAGCCAGTTAAGATATTCTGTTCCTGTTGTTGAGCTTTCAGGATTCCCAATGCAGCACGTCCGTAATGCAATTTCAAGGGGACACGCTGGGGAAAAAGCTCATTCCCCCCCCCCCCGTCCTCATTTAAAGGGTCCCTTCCTTGTTCCATCCGCTGGGACCCCCCCTGCTTTTTCAAAGGGGGTCTCTTCCCACTGGAAAATGTTTAAAGCGCGGCAGCTCCAGAGACTGGGATCCTTTGCAAGATCGCAACTAAGAAAGCAGAGAGACAATACCAGGGGGTGGGGGCTTCAAACCTGAAGACCTAGGTGCCATTCCGGGGTGGGTGGGTGGGCAGCCCAGCCTGGGCATGCAAAGAAACTGGGGTCATGCAAGGGAAGTGCCCACCTTAAAGCGTTAGAAAGGCCCTTTAATGCAACAGAGGGGGGGGGACTGCTCCCAAACACAAGGGGCTTTCCAGGCATCCCACCCCCCCCAAAAAAAGAACACAGGAAACCCAAAACAGCATCAAGGAAACTGGGCAGGATTGAAGCTATCGCAATTCAAAAGAGCAGGCCTGCCTCCCCCCAGGTTGTGGTCTTTGATTGGCTGGCAGAGATTTTGCTCGCCTTGTATTGGGGGGGAAAAAAAGAGGGAGGGGAGAGAAGAGGGGAGGGGGCACAAGACAAAGCCAGCCCCTTGTTCTTTGCAGGGTCTCTCCCCCTCCCCCCTTCCCCCCCAACCTCCCCTTCCAATCTCTAGCCCCTGAAACAAGGGAGAGGGCTTTCCTCCCCCCTCCCCATTTAAGGAAAGGGGAGAGTTACCCCCCCCACACACACATATATATATATACAAACACACATACACAATATGCACAAACGCGCTTTGCAAGGCCTCCGCGCTCCTTTCCCCAGGTTTAGCATGGGGTGGGTGGGTGGCTGGGAGAAGGGTCCCCCCCCTCAATTGCACCCCCAAAAGGTGCATGGGGGGCGGGAAGGGAAGAGGGGGGCCAGGAGCGCAAAGGAGAAGGGGACGCAGCTTGGGGAATTCAATAGGGGAGCAATGATGGGGAGGGGAGAGGGGGGGGGCGCAGCCAGGCCTCATTGAAAGTGGGGTGGGTGGGTAAGGGGAGAGACACTTAACTGTTGCCCGGGGTGCTGCTGATGGCGGCTGGTGGCGGCTCCCCCGTTTCAGGCAGAAGCAGCTTTTCATTGCCCGGCGGAGCGGAGGAAGAAGAGGAGGAGGAAGAAGAAGAGGAGGAGGAGGAAAAGAAGAAGAAGCGGTGGGAGGGAGGAAGAAGAGGAAAAGGAGGAGGAGGAGGAGGCCCGGCGGGGCCCGCAGGAGGCGACGGTCCTTACCGGGCGTGCAAAGGCGAAGCCCCCCAGCCCCGGCCAGATCCTAAGCGGAGCAGCCCCGTCCAAACAGCCCGAGCGAGGGCGGAGGGAAAAAAAAACAAACGGGCAGCCGAGGCGGGCTAACACCGCCTCCCCAAACCCAGCCGGGCGCTGTCTCCGACGAGCCGACGCCGCTGCCTTCGCCGCTGCCGCGCTCCAGCCACAGAGCCCCCTGCCTCCCGGAGCCCGCACTGCCGCTGCCTCGCACGGCCTTCCCCCCCCCTCTCCACCACCACCTCTCGCCGCCCACCGGCCCCAGGCAGAAGCGGCGCGGCCAGCCGTGGCAAAGCCCTTGCCGTGCGCCCAGGGCGCACAAACCACCTCCCCAAAACCTCTCCAAAAGCGCGCCCCGGAACGCACCGGCCGGGCTGCGCGAAGGAAGGAGAGAGGGCTCCCCCGGGGAGAGCGAGGAGGGCCGGGGAGGGCGCGCTCCAACCCGAGCCTGCCAGGAGGAGAAGGACTGGGGGGAGGTCGGTGGAGGGGCTTGGATCCCCGCTCTTTTGGGTGCCCCTCTTTTCTAGCTGCATCTTCTTTGGCAAGGAGTTTCAGTATTTGGCCTTATGTTTGTTTATTTGGCCTTTGCACGCTGAATATTCGAGCTGATCTATCTATCTATCTATCTATCTATCTATCTATCTATCTATCTATCATCTATCTATCTCCTTTAAAATAAATTTTTAGTAGAGTATAAATATTAAAAAAACATAACATAACATACACACAACAAACATTTATGCAACATATAAACAAAAGAAATTATGTTTCCTTCTTAAGCGTTGTTTCAAAGTAACATTCTGCTTGTTATATATTTCTTCACCTCCCCTTAGTGTAATAACATTTTCTATATCGGTAATATCTATCATCTATCTATCTTCCATTTAACTAGCTATCTATCGGTATCTATCATCTATCTATCATCTATCTATCTTCCATTTAAGTAGCTATCGGTATCTATCATCTATTATCTATCTACTATCTATCATCTATCTATCTATCATCTATCTTCCATTTAACTAGCTAGCTAGCTATTTATCATCTATTATCTATCTATCTATCTATCTATCTATCTATCTATCTATCTATCTATTTATCTATATATCATCTATCTACCGTGTTTCCCCAAAAATAAGACCCTGTCTTATATTTTTTTTGAACCCTGAAATAAGCGCTTGGCCTTATTGCCATGCGCTCAAAAGCCCGATTGGGCTTATTATCAGAGGATGTCTTATTTTGGGAGAAACGGGGTATTTTTGAGCCCTGTTTTTTCCCCCAAAAAAATGGGTTGATAAAGCCTCAAAAGTAGGCCAAAAATAGCCTAGAAAACAGGCCGAAAAAGCCTCTAAAATGGGTGAAAAAAAGGCCTGAAAAAGGCCAAATAAAGGCCCAAAATCAGGGCGTGCGAAGGCCAAAAAATGGTGGGCAGGGCTTCAACAATATTCGGTCTATAAGACGCACAGACATTTTCACCCCCGAAATGTATAGTCCGAAAAATACGGTATTTTCAACAAATAAGAAGGATAAATACACAGTGCTAAGTTACAACCATCTCTGCCACGCATCTGTGGGGGGGGGGCGCATGTGGGGGCCACACATACATGCATTGGGAGCGTGCAGGGGGCCATGCGTGCATGTGCAGGGGGCACACAAATGGAGGGGTGCGGCATATGCGCGGAGCTGCGCACACATTGCATTTTGGGGGTTCACGCAGGCTTGCACTTTGGATACTCGGTCCGGAAAAGATTTATTTTATTTATTTATTTTTATTTGATTTATATGCCGCCCTTGTCCAGAGACTCAGGGTGGCTTACAGTGCATTAAGCAATAGCCTTCATACTTTTGGATATATACTTATACAAAGTCAGCTTATTGCCCCCACAAACTGGGTCCTCATTTCACCTACCTTAGAAAGGATGGAAGGCTGAGTCAACCTTGGCCCTGGTGATTAGCCATCACTGGCCCTATACCATGTTAGACAAATGGTTGTCTGAAAGGAGAGAAAAACAGAATCAAGTACACACCTCCAGTCCCAAAGACAGGCGAAAATAAATATTTGAAAGGAAATTTCAAACGTCGTGAGAATGAGGTTGTAAAACAGAACTGTGGTCCACAAGGGATGAAAACTTTTGCAAAGATTGGAAAATATGTTGTGACACAGATCGCTAGCCTTCAGGAATGGACAGCTCCCAGTTTATCATTGCCAGAATCTGACTTAATTTCTACTCCTTCCCATAATTATATGGAATTTAGCCTGTTTTTCAGACCTACCCAATTTTGTGGGCTGGTCAGTGTACTGCACTCAGATGCAAAGAGATGTCAAATTTTTAAAAAATACAAAAAAAATAAAAATAAAAATTGATGTGCCATAGAACTCTTGTGTGATTGGACATACAATGAATTTGTCTTCGGTGTATATGCTCTCGGGGTACATAAAGAAAAAAAAATCTATATATATAAAAGTGAAAACCACTCACACATCATCACGAAATCTCCAGAACCATAAAGCCTACAAACTTGAAATTTGCCACGTATATTCCTCTTAGCTTCTAGGTGCTCACTAAGAAAGGATTTTTCGAAATGACCATCAGATCATTATTATTATTTTTTAATTTTGATTTATATGCCGCCCTTCTCGGGAGACTCAGGGCGGCTTACAATGTGCTAAGCAATAGCCTTCATCCTTTTTGTATATTTATACAAAGTCAGCTTATTGCCCCCACAAACTGGGTCCTCTATTTACCTACCTTAGAAAGGATGGAAGGCTGAGTCAACCTTGAGCCTGGCGGGATTCGAACCTGCAGTAATTGCAGGCAGCTGGTCTTAATAACAGGGTGCTTTAGACCACTGTACTACCAAGGCTCATTAAATTATTATTTCATATACAGTATTATATTCACATGCTCTGATGCTAAGGAAATTGAACTGCTGGCAGTCGGCAGAATTATTCTGCAACACTGCATACTAGCCACCTCCTTCCACTTATGACTGTATGACTGTAATTTTGTTGCTTGTATCCTTATGACTTATATTGATATTCTTTCCATCATCCTCAATAACCACAGCGGCAGTTTTGGGCTGGGATGACCGAAAGGGCCTTGCCCGAGTCTATCATTCCACAATAACGAGGAAGCCACAAAAGAAAAATTCTGCTTTGCTTTGTAAAAAAAAAACCCCAAAAAACTCTCTTCGCAGCTTGGATTAATGATCGAAACCTGTTCATTAACGGCTGCGGGGCCATCAATTAGAACTTAATTGCCAATTTTGATCCCCTGCCTCCTTTTTGCGGCTGACACCTTGGGTTTTTTAAGCCCGCTATGCCATTCTCAAGAATCTGGAAAGGATGCCAACATGAACACAAAGGAAGACTGGCTTTTGCCATTCTTTCGCAGCCTGGTACCAAACGAGATTTGGTTTTAAAACCGGCTCCTCCGTTTTTAACCGATGCTTGGCTAATCTCGAATTCTCTTCTCACATCCCTTTAATCCCCTTTGAGGCGGGCCCAAAGGGAACCAAAATGCAGAAGTGGCCGTGCGCTGCCTCGTAAGGTTAACTCCGACGTCCGTGGCGTAAGGTTACTATTTATCTAACACGAGCGGAGTTGGCGCACGCATCTGGCGCCTGGCACTTACTGAAATTATTTATGATTTCCACCAAGATTTAAAAGCTCATCGCCGGCCTTGTAATGCAGTAACTGATTGCACGGCTAATGTAATTAAGGGGAGATGATGATGTCCACGTGGCACGGCAGATGGTGGCATCCGTTGCGATCGGCAGCGCACAACTGGCAGGCAACTGCACAAGGGCAGTGAGGCCCCGGCAGCTGGAGCCTTCGTCGCCGTTGGCCTGGAAAATAAAGGCAAGGTGGGAGAAGAAAGGAAGGAAACAAAAGGATCTAGAGATTGACTATGTGCCATGAAGTCAGGGTTGCCTTTGGTAGCCGCTCTAGATAGACCTTCTCCTAGATGTCTTCATTTTGGTCCTTCAGGTCTTCCCATGGTAGTTCTTGCTGCTTTAATTGAGTCTTTGCACCTTGCTGCTGTTCATCATCATCATCGTCATCATCATTGTTGTGGTCCGCCAGCAGCCTGCGGAGCTGGCAGCGGAGTTGGACAGCAATGAGGCTGAGGAAGAACATGGGCTAATCCTGGAGGCTGGGGAAGGTCCAGATGAGAGCTCTGCGTCGGGGGTGTGGTAGATGCTCTCATTTCTAACTAGAACCAGGGATGGGGCTGCTGGGGGTTCTCAGAGGTTCAGGAGAACCTCTAGCTAAGATTCTGTGCAGTTCAGAGAACCCCCAAATCCCACTCCTGGCTGGCCCCGCCCACCCCACCCCTCCCCTCCCAGGAGTCCCCACACGGCCCATTTTGGATGCAGGTAAGTGCAGGGCACATGCGGAGGCTCGGGGAGGGTGAAAAACGGGTCTACTGGAAGTTCATGAAGGTCAGAGGGCCTCCAGAGCCTGGGGAGGCTGTTTTCGCCCTCTCAAAGGCGCCTCCGGAGCTTGGGGAGGGCAAAAACACCCCCTCCCCCACCGTGGTGCAGGAGACTGGCTAGGCCACGCCCACCATGGCCACGCCCACCCAGCAACCGGGCAGAGAACCCCCTGCTAAAATATTTGAAGCCCACCCCTGACTAGATCTCTACATGTATGCTGATGACATGCTAAAGCGTAAAACAGCAATTGAGCGAAGACACCCTTAGAAGCGAGAAATATGGTAGGGCATTTAGTAGGGAACTCTTTTTTTTAGATTGGGAAACCTGGACACCCCTGGAACCTGGACACCATGGAAACTTGAAGGAGACGGTAAAATCAAACAAAACGGTGTCATCGTCCATAATTTTCAACCATCCCTTTCGGATCGAAAAACGCCACCAGAAAAGAGCCACCAGAAAAGAGCCATGGTGGCGCAGTGGTTAGAATGCAGTATTGCAGGCTAATTCTGCCAAC